CTTCCAACCTAAAGGACTCTATGATTTATAATGAAACTGAGTCAAAAGCTAGAGAGAAACCATCTTATGCTACAAATATGAAAGTCACTCTTTTGAGAATGACCTGTTGGATTCTCGCAAAGCCTTGGGTCCAAGGCTCTGTTCTTTCTAAACGAAAGAGAGGTATGTTGTCGTAGCTGTTTTTTTCCTACTTTTTGCATACAGAGTGGAGTTCACAGTAGGAGAAAAACCAGTGTCAAATTTTCGAATGATTGAGAGACATTACTTCAGAGATCGCCTGCTGAAGAACTTTGACTTTGATTTTGGCTTCTGCATCCCTAGTAGCAGGAACACATGTGAACACATTTATGAATTCCCTCAGCTCTCAGAAGACCTTAGTAAGTATCTCCCTTTCCCACACCAAGGTGTTTTGTTTGTGTGTGTGTGTGCATATACTCATTTTCTCCTTCTCTGTATTTGTGAAAGAAGTTGTGGCTGAGATTGAGGGGACAGGAATAGAAAGATACAGGTTCCTGGTTTAAACTGTGTAATCTCAATTGAATTATGGATTTGTGTTGCAAATTCTCCTCTGAAAATGAAAGCCTAAGACAACCTGTGTTGTTGTCAAGTCACAGGCTGCAAGACCTGATCAGTCACAGTGCTGCCATGCCTGATGCCTAACAGTGCAGCCCAGGAGACAACAAAACCCTGAGAAAGGGTTCTCTTGGTAGCTATGTGCCTGTTTTCAGCACTTGCTTGTTAGGGCTTGAGCCTTCTGCTTTGGAACAAAAGTGGCTCTTTTCTGAAAGGTGTGGTTTTGAGCCTACCAAGATCTCTGCAAGCATGCAGGCTATGTTTGCCCTGAGGGGGTGGGTAGAGCAGGAGTACTTGGGCCCTTCTGTGGCTGCTGAGGTTCAGGAGGAGGTGCAGTTGTACCCTGCCTGTGTACACTGGGGCAGTGCCACCTCTGTTTCCTTGGGGGCTGCGTCCTCTGCTCACAGCTGTGGTTGCTGCTCTGCTTTACTGGTGACTCTGGTGGTTTCTAAGTTTGTCTAGTGTGAGATGACTCGGTCCCCCTTTGTTCGCTTTTGATAGCACTTGTCCTGTGAGTAGGAAGGGCAGCCCTGAGGTTTTGAGGCATGCACGGCAGAGCAGTTTGCCTTCCTTACTTGGGCAGGGGAGAGTATCAGGCTGGTAAATCCAGCAGAGCAGCAGCGTCCTTTTCCCCCTGACTTTGTGCTGTCCAGTGGAATGTGGCAGGCTTTTGAATGTAATTGAGCTTTCTCTTTCACAGTCCGCCTGATGGTTGAAAACCCTTACGAGACCCGCTCAGACAGCTTTTACTTTGTGGACAACAAGTTGATCATGCACAACAAGGCTGACTATGCTTACAATGGAGGACAGTAATCATTCTGCGTCCACGGGGTGCTTCGATGCTGGTAACCATTCCAGATGTCCAGGAGTTGCTGTCTCGTGCAACAAGGCTTCTTGCCAAACCTTTTCTCCTTGCAAGAGGCTGAAAACGTGAAGCAAAGACGACTCATGGAACTAAAGGAAATCTCCCTGCGGCACCTCTCTGTCTGACACAACATATCCTGCCTCTCTCTCTCTGTTTCCGGTTACTTTCTGGTACCTTGGTTAGGTCATGGATCAGAGGCACTGTTGGAAAACTCTTGCCGTTACAATCTTTATAGTTAGGTTACACCTTTAGTGCTTCTGATGTTTCATCTCTTAGGTGACTGCCCTCATTCAAGAGGTCAGATTGTTTGGTTAAGCTATTTCTTAGCAGGAAAAATTTTACCCCCTCAAGTAGCCAGTGACAGCTGAAGAGCAGACCTCCTTCAGTTGGATAGATCATCTCTTTAATGCACAGTGGCTTAGTTTGTAGCATGGCTGATGTTGTGTTTTAGGGTGCATCCCAAGGTTCTCCAGTGAGAAAGATAAGACACTAGTTCAGCTTCTGAGCAGCGCAGGAATGTTCCGTGGGCCTCCAGGGGCCTGAGCTGCCCCTGAGGACAGTTAGATCTGTTGAACAGTTAAATCTCTTGCTAGAGATTTCACTAGATACAAGAGGGGGAAAAAAAGGCTCTTTATCCAGGTTGGTCATCAAGTCAGCCTGATAGCATTTCTATTTGAGCTCTTGCGAGCAAAGTGTTGCATTTTGGAGTTCAGCGGTCAACCTCAGAGCTGAAGTTAATCTCACTGTATTTACCATTTCTTCTGCTTCCCTTTGTGTAGGAATTTTGACTCTTGCTACAGAATGTATTGCTTTTCAGATCGACAGCATGTTGTCAGTCTAGCTGGGGTGGAGGGCAGGTGTCAGTCTAGTTGGGGCTTAAAGGAAAAGAGAATGTGGAAAATTGGTTGAAAAATGTGTAGGAAGCAGAGCTTCCTAGGCTTCAATCTCTGTATACTTTTATACCTGAACGATCTGTCAGAGGAGCTGGGAGGAAGGATGGTGGTGTTACGAGCTCACTTGCTTTGTTTCAGTTGAGGTATGAGCAGCTAAGAGCATCCCGGGCCAGGTCACTCAGTGTTAGAGTGGGATTCTTACAAAGTGAGAATTTGCATGATTCTCCTCTTAATGTTTTGAGCTCCCATCACTGCTTTGCCTACTTGGCTGCTTATTTATGGTTTAGGAAGTTTTTCTGCCAAGGTAGTTGCCACCACACCGGAGGGTGTATTTCACAGCTGTGATTGGGATCTGGAGGTAGGAAATAGCATCATGCGGTGGGAGGAGGAGACCTGTGTCTTCCCAACAGCCGTGCTGGGGTCTAGCTCCTTACTGGGCAAAATCTCAGCTAACCAAACCCTTTTCTGCCTGTGTTGCTGGCTCTCAAGACTGGCGTTTGTCCTGTCCCCTCAGTGGGCTGGTTAGTTCTGTCTCTTGCGCATGGGAGTTAGATTGTGTCTAGAGTAGAGGCATTTCCTAGTATCCCATCCACTTGTTCCTTCAGACAGTTGAAACCTAACTCCCTGGTGGATACAGCTGGTTACCTGTTGTGCTGAGTAAGATTTGGCATGGTTGATATTTTAGCAGGATTAAGTGGGGTGGGCATCGCAGCCTGGAGCCTGTTAGTGTGCAGACAGCAATAGGAAACCGCTGCCTTTACCTCGCAGGTTAACAATAGTAACTTTGATGTAGAAGCCCAGCTGGCATCAGGATAAGCAGTGAGAGTGTGTGGGGTGGCAGCTCGGAAAGAATCTCCAGCTCTTGGGAAGATATTTAATTATGATTAACCACATCAAATGACCTGTTCTGGGTGGAGCATCAGGCATGAGCAACCACAACAAATGTCTTGGGAATGTGGAGGGGCAGAGTCTGTGTGGTGGAAAGACAGTTCTGCTGCTGTCGATCCCCTCCAGCATCTCCAGAGGTGCTTAGGCAACCGTGATGAGTTATTTCAGAATTAGTTAAAGCTGGTTGTAAGGTGGAGCTTGAGATGCCTCTTGCAGCAGTTGTCTTCAGAAGGCCTTCTGCTGTGCTGATGAATTGGGAAATGTTTGTTTTTGCTGGAGGTTACTTGTGACAAGGCAGGACTGCCTGGAAGTGCATTTTCCATCCTGAAGTGTTCCGAGATGCTCAGGATAGTATCTGAAGAGCCTGCTCGTTATTCCCTGGGAAATGTTAGCATGTTGAGCTGAATTTGTATGTAGTATAAATCCAGGTGCCTTTAAATGTTACTTTTACCACGTTTTCTATATGAAGCAAACTCTTGCTTTTCTTATGAGTGTGATGATTCCCATCTGTTCTCGATGTCACTGCATAAAGGTTCTACGGGCAAATCGCGTGTGTGAGCTGTGGGCAGCAGTCAGGTCGGGTGTTTGTCGGGGTGTGGGTGCCACCTAGCTGCTGCTTCCAGGGTGTGCTCTGCCAGAGGGGAACGAGGCAGTTGGTGCTTACAGGAAAAGTGGGTTCATGTCTTGAGTCATTATCTCTGCCAGTAGCAGTGAGAAAAAAGCATGAATCCATGAAGCAGTTGCTTTCCCACTGGTGAATGTATCAGCTATTCAGCAATAAGAAAAGGAAAACTGGAGGAAAATTGGAAGACCTGCAGGCTTCCCTGCAGGTAGCACCCCTTAATTTCTATCTGAATTTATTTCCTTTGCCATATTAGGTCTTTACCCTAAAAGCATGCTGCAGAGAAAAGTCCCTGCAAGGAGGCAACTCAGCACTGGAAAAGGTTATTGTAACCCAAAAAGTCAAGGATTTCCAAACTCTTATCCCCACTTCAGCCACTTCCCCAAGGTTCCTCCTCTCTTAGATGTTTTCTGTACAGTGTCCTCTCTTTGTGGCAGGGATGATGTCTTTGGTAAACATGACGTAGCAGTGCATCTTCCTTCTGGACTGTGTGGACTTCTGACACTTTAATGGTGGGTCAAAGCTACTCAGGCCAGTGAGCTAGGAAGAAATTCCAATGGGATCTCATCCTTGTCAGGTGGATGGTCTGTCCTAGCCAGGTGCTGAAGGCAAGGGAGATGCTTTCAGTGTCAGTTGGAGTTTGAGCAACAGAAAAGGTGTCTGTGCAGACGGCTTCTCTCAGGTCATGTGGTGAGCTGGAAAGAGAAGAGAGTTGTGATCATACTGTGTTCTGCTCTGATGAAAACGGGGACCAAACCCACGCTAAATCTTTGCAGTATTTGCCCTCTTGGAACTTGGACCTCTTTTTCACATTTTTGAGGCAAGTGCTTTGGATCCATGCCAGCAAGCTTCCTGGGCAGCTATTTTCATGATTGAGGAATACATATGGCAGCTTGTGAAGGGAGGTCATCTCTTGTTGTATGGACTGGGTACTGCTGTCCTTGTCCTCCACTTTTGATAAGAAATGTCTTCCTTTATGTGTTTTTCTTAGGACTTCTAGTGTGTCTTCCTGCAGAGAAGCAGCAGCCTCCTCTCTGGAGCCTGAGGATATTTATTCCACCCCTCTGAGGGTTCAGGAAGAATAAAACAAGTGTTTAGAAGCTGGAAATGAACGGGGAAGGTGGTGAAGCAGGGAGGCCAACCCCAGCCGCTACTTCTCAGCCCTGTTTCATTACACCCTCTTCAGCCGTTTCCCAGCGTTTGTCCTCTGCCCTGCTGCCCCGCCTGGTGCCACCGCCTCGGGTGCGATCCCTGGACTCGCCCGCGGGCACCTTCCC